TTTTTACAGTTAATATGCAAAGTGTCTACTTTAAGAGCACTGTGTGGACGACATACAGAAAAGCTTATGGCATTTAAAGCAATATACCCAGACATTGTGCGACTTCATTTTCCTCCACTTTACAAGGAGTTGTTCACTTCAGAGTTTGAGCCAGCAATGCAAATTGATGGGTAAACGTATCACCTAAGCACTTCTAGAATGTCTGAAGTACAAACATTAAAACAAAAGAAAGGAAAAAAAAGGAAAAAAAAAAAAAAAAAGAAAACCAAGACACTTTATATGGCCCTGAACAGACCTAGGGAGCCAACACACTGCACATCTCTTGGCGGTCGGGGTCAGGCGAAGGATGGGAAACAATGAAACAAAGTTGAACTTGTTTTTCTCATGCATATGATTTCCATTATGCCTACAAATATGGACCCTTTTTCTGTCTCAACTTCTCAATCCTTGACCTCTGTTTACACAGACTGAGGGTTCTAATGTCAGAAGGTTGTTTTCTCCTGTAGTTCACTGCCCAGACTTTTGACAGAACAATCAATTTGTTGGTCAGAACAGAGTCCACCTAGTAATCAGCGACTGGTGTGCATTGCAGAGATTTCAGCATCAGTTTGCACAACTTGCTCATTGTTTCATGAAGGACGATTTTTTCTCACCTACCACTGTTTGCCAGTAGACAGAACGGCATGAAAAGGGTCCATAGCAATAGCAACAATAGCATTATAATATATTACAGGGTAAATGGGCATGAAGACTATATATAGCAAAAGAGATATTGTTTATATATTGTTTTAATTAATATAAAATGTAGTTACTGGTATAGCTTTTCTTGTTGAATTGATAAGGCACTTTCATTTTGCACCTTTTTCTTTAAATTAAATGCTAGCGTGTTCATTGTTGTGTTGCATGTGCACCAGAAATTCAAGTTTAACTGAAAAAGGTTTGGCAGGTACTGGTACATTGGGAGGTATTTATGCTGCTGTTTTCCATGTTACTTTTAAAGAGAGGCTGGTCATATCCTGAAATGGTTAGAGATTTCTAAAAAGAGTTGAAAATAATGACAATTTTCTACATTAAAATAATCTTTACCGAAGTTAAATTCAAAGGTACTTTTATTTTCAAATCTTTCAAACCTGGATGTTTCAAAGTCAAAAGCCTCATTTTCAAAGGTTCTGAGTTTCCACTGTCAGAGTTGAACTAATTAATTACAGATCATTTACAAATGAGTAACACAGCATCTTTGAAAATCAGGCTATTAAATATTGTATTTCTGCCCACCATAAATCCAGTTTTGAAAGAATTTATTCAAGTCTGTATCTACAGTAAAAGTATGTGTGTATGACATGCTTGCCAAAAAGTAATTTTTATACATTACATACTTTTGTACTCCATATTGTAAACAATACCTTCAAATGCCAAGCTGTAGCCTATCAAAATCCCTAGGTTTGTCTTTGATTTCAGTGAGATGAGACACACTGACCCCTGTTCTTCCAGCATCCGGCAGTTCAGTTTCAAGGAGCTGAACAGAGAAGTCTGTTCTCTCCTTGTTTAAAAAGATGCACTTTAAAGTTGATAGATGGGGACAGACGAAGAAAGGAAAGATACAGTGTTGCTAGAAAGCATTAGTTTGTACTCAGTACAAGCCTGGAAATCATTAATATGAGAAACCTGCATTCTGTAATTCTGATTCCTGTATTGCATAACCAACCAATAAGCTGAATCTTGCAGTGTTATTCATTACCATTCCCTTCAGGAAGAATTCTGTCTCTGAGCAAAGCTGGCAGTAAATGTAGTTCTGAAGGAAGCAGATTCGCATAAATGACATCACAAACTGTGGCTGTTTGAGCCAGAGGTGTATAATTTGGTTTGGATGAGATGAAGATGCATAACCGTATGCCCTGTAGGCCATAACAAATGCACTTTTGATGAAGTACCTAAGAAAAGGCTGGGAACATCGAAAAATGAAAAGGAATGAGATGTAATGTGCCCTACTGCTCTAACTTCCAAGGGTAAACAATCTCTTATATATCTTATATTTGTTGAGAAGTAGCAAGTGACGAGAAACACACCAAAGCCTAAGTATTTTAAAAAGGAGAATCAGATCAGCAGGTTCTTATTAGCAAAATACAGGTTTATTCTATGATTTGAACATGTTTCCTTTGGGGTCAAATTAAGACATTTATCTATGAAACATATTAGAACTGTTCCAGTCTAGCACATCTGGGAGGGTTACAGCTATCACTCATCTCTAGGCTTTGAAGGGAGGGCTAGAGGAGAGCATCACACCCTGGAGTGTGGGAGGGGAGCACCTGCAGTGCTGTGAGCACTGGGATGGAGGCAGGAGAGGGCTTTTGGAAAAAGTCCATAGAGCTGTCTTTTTCCTGCTCCATCCTGCCTGCTCCTGAAGAGGCAGCTCACAGCCCAGCACATGCTCTCTCCACTCCCACTGAAACACTTTTCCTAGGATCATTGTTTACTTTATTGGAGTAACTGGCACGATATGGTACTTGCATTCTAATGTGTGTTCCTATTTTTGAAGCACCCCTTTTAACTAACAAATGTTTTCTGAATGTGACCAGCCTTAGGTGCTAGTCCTGTAAAGATCAACTAAACTTAATCTCAGTGTCAACTAATGAATAGTGAAGAAAGACCTGTAATTTATTAGAGAGTGAGATACACCTCCTACTTCTGACAATGTAGACTACCAGGTAAAGTATTTGGGGATTAGTTTTCAGCCACATCCTGTTCTTACCTTTTCATGATGAATATTAGTACTTTACCAGGCATCTAGCTGCCAGTGGCTTTGTTTGGAATCTGTTTAGCATATTTACATTCATAAATCATTGACAATATAAGTCTTGGAGCATTTTCTAATAAAATACATAACAATAAAAAGGTTTCAAATAGGGCCTTAGCTGAGAGTGATCTTCCAGGCCAGAAAATACTGTTGTTTTTGTTTGTGGGAGCTCGTGTACTGGGACAGTGTTAAATCAGGCTGAACATTCCGCAAGTAACTCTGCTTTCCTGGTCACAGTTAACAGGCACTTGGCAACAGAGTATAATTTTTGGGTTGGTCTTCAAGGAGAGAGGAAAAAAGGGATACAGCACAGCAGACCTACTGATAAGACATCTGTTGCCAATGAGGTTTTTATGCAAGGGGACTCAGAATAACACCAGAGTGGCTGGTCAGAGATGGCCATCTAAGAACCCAGCACAGGAGAGGAAATGCCCTCTGCAAAACCCCTGAGACTGTGGCCTGGTATCAGATGATCAATCAGTTAAAAAACACTGGAGGTCAATGGATATTCACAAGTATTTTCATCATCTGCCCAGTTCACTACAAATAAAAACACTAGGATATCTGAACTTAAGTTTTGATGACCTAGTCATTAGAGTCTGCAAAGATATTTTCCTTGGGAGTTATATGGAATTATATAAACTGGAGATATTTTCTGGCTTTCTAGGAAGAGCTACTAGACTATACTGTCATCTGAACCACCCTAATATGTCATCACCTCCAGCATTTTTTGATGTATGGAATTAGGTAAAAAGGGAGGCTGTTTTTAAGTTTGGTTGTTCTTTATTAGTTTATAGTATGAATACCAAGATATTTGTGTATGTGCACCTGTGTGTGTGTGTGTGAGAGAGTCCATTGTGTGCGCACATGAGTGTATGCGTGGGACGTGTGAGCGGCTGCTTCTAGGCTGTTAAGTGTCAATGGAATAAAGAAAATGTATTCAAAATACTTAAGTCAAAAATAGAAGGTGGTAAAAAGATTTATTCTATACAAAGCCTTGTCTGGACCACTTTAGAGAGACTTCTATTTTTTTAACCCTTCTATAAATGTTTGATGGCACTTGAAATATTCCTGCAATAAAATGTGATTTGTGTAAACATTAAAAAAAAAAAAGATTTTGTAATGTGAAACAATGAAAGAAAGTAATGTAATTTTTCTAAAAAACAAAAAAAAACCACAAACGAACGAACTTTGTATTATTTTCTTGATGGAATTTGTCTATTTGTCTTTGGAAAACTTTTTATTTCATTGAATGTGCCATAGTAGAGGTGCGTTTTTCTTTTTCTTTCTTTTTTGTTTTTTATTTTTACATTTTAGATTAAAGGAATAGCTGTGTTCCGACATTCCAAAATGCAAGATGACATAGCAGTCATGATTAAAAGGTTTGATTAGTAAGCTTCAATCATTGTTGCTTTTTTTGCACATGTTCTTCATTCCTCTACAGTGCAATATGTACATAGAGCACTTGCGGGTGTAACCTTGATCCCTCAGGGAAAAATACATATTTGTACAGGATTTTTCTTTTTTTTGCCTTTTTTCTTTTCCTTCCTTTTTTTCTTTTTTCTTTTTTTTTTTTGCTAAGGAATGTCGACTGAATCACTTGTCTGTTGTTGAGGGGCAGCCAGATAATAATCCTAAACCACTGTCACAAAACATTGTTTAAATTTTGTGCCCTTTTATTATTTAAAAAAGAAAAATAAAAGTTATTTTCTGACAGTTCTTTGTGCTGATTGGTGAGAAAAAGGGTAAATAGATAAGCACCTTATGATTGAATTAACTGTGAATGACAATCCATCTCGTTATCAACAAGAGAAGCCCTGTCATTTTGGAGCTGGGGTTCTAAGTCAGAAACTAATGTGCTCAGGGATCTTCTAAAACTCTTCAACAGGGTGGCCAGTACTGCTGGTGGAACAAATTACTTTTTAAAAAATATGCTAGTATTTCTTCCCTTCCCCCCGCCCCCAGGCACAGGAGAACTGGCTATTTTTTTTAACTAAATGCTCTGTGTGTGCCTCATTCTCTTGCTCACTCTTGCAGTAGAGCTGCTTTTTGGTTGGTATTGTGCTCAAAACAGGAGTACTCCAAATAGCACAAAGATTTCACAACTGCATTTTAGAAAATAAATGCTGACTCACTAAATAAATTATTGAAATTAATTTCAATACCCTCTGGACATTTTTATAATTATAGGACTGCTTTTCCAGCTGAAATTCAGTGTTCTGCAATAGAGAACAGCTTTTTAATATTTAAATTATTGTCAAAGAAAATTAATCAGTTTGTGAAAATATAGTAAGAATGAAAAGGTCATGGTTAGGTTTCAGCAATGAAGTCACATAGTAGGGAACACTGACCTGCAGGAATACAAGAACAACATTTCGAATGTTGTCTGTTGTTGCTGCAGATGTTTCATGGTAAAGCCAAAACCTGACTGGAAAGAAACACTGAGGCTGAAGAAATTTTCATATCTAGTACATCAAATACAGCAATTCCAAGTGATTTTACAATGGCACCAAAACCCAGCAATGTTTAGAAGTCTCCCAGTGCCAAATTGTAGGATGCTGGAAGCCTGTCCCAATTAGCTTTGTTTTATGGCTTCACATTCTTTTGAAAATGCAAGTAGAAAAGCAAATAAACAACTACAAACAAAATGAGCAAGACTTCAACACTTTGGTTACTTTGGAAAGAGAGTGAATTTGATTTCTCCATCAAAACTGTCTGCTTGGAGAAAGCCCCAGTTTTCTGGTATTTTTGAGGGTTTTTTTCACGGGTATATGGCTTCCAGTTGGTTACTTCAGATTGCTTAATAAATAGGGAAACAGTACTTACAGTCAAGTTTAGCTTGGAATGGCTTTCTGAGACAGACAAGCACTTAGCAAGTATGATCAGTTGGTGTTCTGGCATCTTCAGCAGAAGAGAATTCCTGTTGCTGATTCACAGTGGACCCTATAGTGGTGAGGATAGCTGCCTTCCAAGCAGCATCTCCAGTATCATAAAGTCACCCCAGGACACTATTCTTTACATACTTGCACATCAATTAAACACTCTTAGAATGGACAACCTATAAGAGGTTTTAACTGCGTAGTGGGACGATCGAAGCATTACAGTATCTGTTTTTGGATTGGCATAGACAATCCCCAGTCTGTACTTGATGAACAAAACAGGTTACACAGTGTAAGCTGTGCAAATTACGTGTATTTTTTTCCCTAGACATTCCTAAACTTCTCAATGTAGACAAACCTATTAATATAAATGCCAGAAACAGCACTTACTATACACTATCCAAAAATAAGAAGCAATTTTCTCTTGAGTATTCATTGTATGGAATTCTACCTGTGCTAGCGGATTCAGATTGCACAGAACATCTTTATTTTCCTTAGCTGGAGAAATACAACTATTAGAATTATTTTTAAATTATTAATACTAATATTTATTACTTTTAAAGTTACATCCATTAATATATTTGAATTTAACCTCTTACTTTCTTTTTTTTAAAATATTCCTGTCAGTAAATCATTTGGTGGAAATGAGGGCAAATGCATACAGATACCAAATACAACAACAAAAATAAAAATTTTAAAATGTAAATGAGTATTTCTTTTAAAATCCTTGCAGTGTGTGCTTTAACTCTAGTACTGTGATAATGGCTTGCTACATAATGCTAAGTCACCGGACTTGAGGGGAAAAATACGTAACATAATATATACAGTCTATCTCTGGAACTTTATTCAGGTACTAAATAGAATTTTAACATCTAAACAGAAGCTGTATTCTACCTTTTCCATCTATAGTGTAGCTGTTGGGTTTGGGTTTGGTTTTTTTTTTTTGCCTTTATCACTGGTAGAATATAGCAATAACTTTATAGCAATAAATAGGCTATCCAAATAAGAAACAAAACATGATAAAGGCTTCAGATCAATACTCATAGGCTCACTTCTTCTGCCACAATATTCACTTGTATGTCTTCCCTCATAATCTTATAACTTCTTCAAGCTGAACTTCACAATCAAGTTGTTCAACTTCATGTGTGACATCACACTTTGTTAACATCTGCATGTTTTCAGTGTTCATGTGTCCTATGTATACTTGTGTTCCTATGTTAGTGTTTCTCAAGGTTTCTGAAAGCACAATCTCTGTGAGATAGATTTCTGCACAGGGCTCTCTGTGTTGGAATTGACTTACCTTTCCTGGGGCAGGGAGTGTGAATCAGCTGGAATTACTGGCAACATTTCCTAACTGAAGGAACCAAGCTGCTGCAGGTAGTTGGGAACTCTCCAGACACTGCAAATGCAAAGTGCAGTTCCCAGCCGGCCCTTGCAGCTCCTCCAGGCCGTGGGGCTGAGCTGCAGCTCCTAAATTCCCTGCCCAGCGCACTCCTGTAGCCAGAACAAGCCCCTGTACCGCGCTGGAGAAGCTGCACTTCACAAAGAACCGAGCTGGGTGTGCCTGGCAGGGTGTTTTGATCATAATCTAAACACTTGAGCAGCGTTCAAACAACCAGTTGTGACTTTCAGTTTGAGAAACACTACCCTGAATTACCCCACGAAGTCTTAATGTAGATGCACAAACTTTACAGGAACTTGCAATCTGTAATGCTATCTATATATAATGCAGAGAATTCATAAGCAATACAGTGAATTTTATTTCACAAAAAGGCATACGTACTGTACACCTTTTTAAATCCAAAATGTTCCTCATTTCTACATTGATTTAGAAACAAGTTACAGAACAGTGGTTACTATTTGAAGTATTAGGACATTAACTGGCTGCTTCTTTATATGTAACTGTGTTGTCTGCCTGCTCCTTTTCTGGAGATGTGTTTTTGTATTGGATGTTTGGGCCAATGGGAGGCTTCAAGCTACAATGTATTTTCCCAGATTAAATATATTTAACATATGACAAACCCCAGACAAGGCTTTTTAAAATGTATAAAGAACTGCAGTGTTAGGTGGTTTATTTGCAAACTGTTTTCAATGTTGTCCATTTTTATGGCACCTTTAACAATATTCTTGTTTCCAAAGTACAAAAAAAAAAGGTTAAAAATATTCTAGCCATAACTGAATGTCAAGCAATAAAAACAAATGACTTTTTGTGCATAGATTTAAAAGAAATACAAGTTTTAGACATCTGCATGTAAATGCAATCTCTTGTTTACTGCTTTCTTAAACTTGAGCAACTGATTCCTTATTTTAATACTAATTTAAGGACTTGTAATGGCCTGTAAACATTTTATCTTGCTCTATTCTTTCAATTCTAACTTTGTCTCTGCTTTGGAGTCATAATATTTAATGTTGTTCTGCTCACCTCTATACAGTTAACTTTTTGCTTTCATTCTGTATAGATAAAATTATACTATAAACAGCCTACACAGCGCAAATATTTATCTGTTTATCAAATACCACATTATGCTGTATAATATCTGTTTTACTATATAATCTATTTTAGACATAGCTGTTTAGAACTAGAGTGTGCTATTTTTGTGTTTTTCTGATGTGTGGTGCTAGATAAGTTACTTTTGTGAACAAAAACAAACAAACCCCTTTTATTCCTAGACAATACCACCTTTGGGTCTTGTTAATTTCACTGAGTATAACTATATATAAATATATATATTTGTGTATATATATATATACACCAACATATGCCCAACAAGTACCTGTATCAGAGTACAAGATTTGGGACATGGTTTTCTCTTTAAATGCATAGTGTCATTATATAAATTATTCTATAGTATATTTAATAAGGAGAAAATTACTTCACCGGTACAGATACTTGATATCAAATGTAGAATTTTTTTTCTACATTATTAACATTATTAATTATTAACGTTATTAAAATTGTTCTGTCCAGCTTGTTATCCTTTTGGTTACTAAAACAGTCTGCCTGTATTGTATCAAAAATAAGAAGAACATCTAATCTGCCAGTATAAAATAATTACAATATGCTGTTTGTCTGAAAGGGAGGTAGTTATTTGGCTTGTTGGGAGAATTCTATCTTGCTGTTGAATCGGAAATTTATAGTGTTATTCTGCTGGGTGCCTTCCTCCCTCCTTACTTTAAATAGGATCTGTACACACTCAGCCTGCAGATGTTACTGGGCCATGCCTACACACTTAACTCCAGTGACTGTAAATAGGAATGTTCTGTAAATCTGCCATGATAGATGGATGGCTGAATTCAGTCCCTGGATATGCTTTATACACCATGCATACATATCCAAGGACAGCCAGTAGCAACTAAAGTTAATTAAGAAGTGGAATTTGCAATGTTTTGTCAGGTACGGGGGTTTTGTTTTTATTTTTTCATGTATACCTTAATTTACGTAGTCATATACCCTTCAAACTATTCCTTTCCCCTGTTCCTTTCATTCTAGATATTGTTTTCATGTTCATTCTTAAAAACTGATGGATATCAAATATCTAACTAAGGAGGTAATTAACCTTTTAAATATTTATTAGAATTTTTCTGTAATATTACTGAATTTATAAGATCTTTAGCAAAGATTTTTGAACAATTTATTAATAACAATGTTTCTGTTTACTGCACTTTTTGATAATAGAAGGTAGTGAATTTTAAAGCCATGGTTCTTGGCTTCCATGCACTGCTTTTATACCCTCAATCCAAGGAATATATATATATAAATAATTTTTTTTAAACAGCAAACATACTGTTGACCTAAAAACAAACTTTACTGCACCATGGGTATATTTTCATAAGTGGAATGTTTAACTGCAAACACTATCAGGACAATTACAAAAACCTCTTGAAGCTACAATCTTATTTAAATATAAGCCATGAGAATTTTGTTTTCCCTTCTTGATTTAAGTCACCTTTTGATATTTTCAAAGAGAAAAGGACTCACTCTTAAATTTGTACGTACCAACCTATATGTAATGCCAGGAACACATTCTCCCTGCTGTTTTAATAGTTTGATATATTTATGCAAAACCATTTGGTTAACATTTATCCTCCCTCTACTAAATGTTCAATGTACCAATGCCAGAATAAATGCTGATTATAAATATACATCAAATTGAAGATGAAGCACACAGACTTAAAAACCTCGTTGAGTGATATACTCAAATTTCTGTAAATACACACAAGTTTAATGCAATTATACTGTACATGTAAATATGTGCTGTCTGTTATGTGTACAGTATGTATAAATTCCTTTTCTAGCCACAATAAAATGTAAGCCATCAAGAGGAATACTAAAGTGGTATTGTACTAAACCTTTGCTAATGATCTTTACCCAATCACTTCACTTTTCCCTTCCATAGACCTTTCCAACTCACGATAGCCTGCTTATATTCAAGTTTGTTATTTTACTCGGTCCCGAAAAAGTATTTTGATTCATTTTGTAAATATGACTGTAAAAATAAGAGATTTAATGTTGTCTTTTAAATACTCCAATTTTCATTCTAATATGAATGTTGTTATATTGTACTTAGAAACTGTACCTTTAATATTACATTACCTTTATTAAGTGCATTGAACACATCGATTTTAGATGTGCTTTATGTACTGTTATCCTGTAATAAAACTTCAGCTTCTAATGGAAAAAATCTGTCTTAATTTTTTTGTCAGTCACATCTTCCTTGTTTTTCTGAATTATGGTTTATTTATTATCCTTATTCCTTAAGGAATGCACTGATACAAAATTAGGCTATTATGTATATTAGAGCTGTTTTAGCAGTACATCGCATTTTGTTCAGCAGCAGGGAAACAAGATGACCCCCAAACACCTTTTAAGCTCCCCTTTTGGCCAACAAGAACTTCAAACCTTCTCAGAATGAACATGGGTTAATGTAGCTTCCCTCTATTTGAAGGTGTCTTATTTGAAATCGCAATTCACTACATAAAGAGCAAAATACAAGAAATTTGCACAAAACCCTCCCAGTGAACGCTTCCAGCAGAAATACTGCTTCAGGTCAAATCTAAATGAGAATCTGAGTGTCAAAATTGAAGCTTTAATAACAATTTAGGCATCAAAAGTCAAAGGTGCAGCTCCCCTCTGCTATGCTAACTTTGGGAACACCTGAATGTGTCAGCAGCATGCCTGGTCTTAAGACTTCAGGCATGTGAAATTCTCCTTCTGCACCTACTCAGAAATGTCTCCGTCTTGACAGAGTTTTTAACAGCTCAGTATTTATATGCCTGACCACGATCCAGAAATAGATTCTAACATTCATCTTTGAAGCACTGTGTCTGGAAGCAGCCTTCACCTACAGATTAACTCTACAAAAAAAGTAGTGTGATAACTCTTAGAACAGTAGCACTAAGCAGTGCCATGTGTTCTACAGCAGCTCCATGTCTACAGCAGTCAAGACACTGAAAACACAGATTTAATTTTCTTAGCCTCAGGACATGATTCCTGCCCAGTCTTCCCAGTCACAGGAGAGTTCCTAACCACCAAGATACAAGTTATGGAACAGCTTTATAAAGATCTGTATAGTTCTATATAAAACACAGGAATTTTTCTGAAGTGAAACAAACTGAAGACACTCCCTCCTGTGCCTGCCTATAAGGAAAGCTAAACTACCTTAGGAGGTGGTGGGTTTGACCTCTGACAGATCTACAGAATTGCTGAAGGTTACAAGGACTTCAGAGGTCACAGGCAGGGCTTTCTGGAGCAAGTTGCCCAGAACCATAGATGCCTAGCTTCTGAATATTTCCAAGGATGGTGACTCCAAAACCTCCCTGGGCAACCTGTGCCAGGGTTTTATCACCCTCACAGTGGAAACCTGTTTCTTGATGTTCACGTTTATGTCATGAAAGTACCAAGATCACCAGTAGAAAGTAGCATTATTTTATAAAAAAAGAAACAAAACAAACCCACAAACACCAGATACTGCAGGTTTTAGAGAGATGCAGCCTGAAGCAGGATTTAAGCTGCTACATTAACAAAGATAAGTGTTCTCATAATTCAGCTATAGAACTGCTACCATACCTGGGTTGGGAAGTAAGATCACTCCCTACAAGGGGGTAATTCCACGGCTGGGCTCTGGGTGGGTCTATCCAGTGGGAGAGAAAACCTTTCTGCTTCTCTAAGATAAACAAATCAAGAGGGCAAAATTAAAATCACTGTCCTTAAAACTGATCTGCAAGCAAACTGAAGACGGCCTTGCTGTTGCGTTTGGAAATAATTCTGAATAACCTCTAGGTTCTCACGTACTTGTGTAATAGTGTCCCGTTTTAATCACAGAACACCAAGTACACACTCTCCCCGCATCATTTCCCCTCTTTAGAGCAGTGACCGGCATTACCTTTTCTTATAACACCACAAGCAAATGAGTTGCCATCACCAGACCTATGGGTTCTGAGAATACCCGAATTCCACATTTTACCACACTGGGAAGCCTACCCATCAGTTAAAAAAGGTTTTGCGGCTCTGATCATGAGAAGTGAGTCAGGGAAAATGAACGCGTAAGAGAAGAAGGAAATTATGAACGTAGCCGCCTCTAAGGGCGCGCCAGCCCTCACACACGGCTCCAACCCCTCAGTGACAGGCCGCCCCCCACCACCTCTGCACTGCCAGAGCGGCAGGAGCCACCCGAGACACCCACCCTCTGCCCAGGGCCCCACCTCTGAAACACCCAGGGAGGGGCGGGATGTGCCGCCCGAGACATCCAGGCCCCGCCTCGGCCCCGCCTGTGAACACGGGACAAATCTCCCCGCGCAATTCGGGTATTCTCAGAACCCATAGGTCTGGTGATGGCAACTCATTTGCTTGTGGTGTTATAAGAAA